AGTTTCAATGACCTTTACGGAGCTGTAGTTCATGTGTTTCATATGTTTTGGCAAATTCTCAGCCATTATCTTGTCAAGTATTTCTTCTGCACTGTTTTCTTTTCTTTCTAGGCCTCCAGTTAAATGTATGTTGGACTCTTGACTATGTTCCTACAGGTCTATGGCACTCTTTTTGTTTTTAATTTTCTTTTGTGTTTCATTTTGGATCATTTCTATTTACCAGTCTTTGAGTTCATCTATCTTTTTTTCTAATGTACCCCAGTTTCCTGTAAAGCCCATCCAATGAATCAATTTCAACTTTTTTTGTTGTTGTTGTAAAATTTCTATTTGGATCTTTTTTAGAGCTTCTATTTCTCTGTCGAAATTCTCCCTCTTCTTACCCATTTTTGTCCATCTTTTCCTCTAAATTCTTTAACAAATTATAAATGTCTCTGTCTTGTAATTCTAACATCTAGATCATCTGTGGATCTGCTATTGACAGGGTTTGTTTTGTTTTCTTTTGATTAAAGGCCACCTTTTCCTGCTTTTTCATGTCTTGTAAAACTTTTAAACCGTAGGCTAGATGTGATGTGATGTTATGTTATGTTATGTTATAAAAGAACAGTAAAGACTGAAGTAGGTGGTAATAACACCCTCTTGTCTCTCAGTATAATCAGAAGTTGAGCTGAGATAGTGCTTTAGTTAGTTTGGTTCAACTCTTGTTTCAAATGCCTTGAGAGTGAAGTTAGGCCCCTCCTTTCAGTAAAACTTTGAGATCCAAATTCTGAAAGTCTACAAGATTTCTTTTTGCTTTCCAGATCTGCCTCTGGTTTGTGGCATTAGCATTTACTCAGCAAAATTCTGGGGAGTGGGGGAGATTGGCAGGTAGGGAGGGCTAGCTCTGACCCTGGACTCTTTTGAGACGCTCACCTAGGTAGACAGTCTTCATTTAGCTGTTAAAGACTTCCCTGATTTTTCCTTTTCCCTGCAAAATCCATTGCCTGTTGCCAGCATGCTCCTCTGTCAATTCTTGCTCCCAGGGAATAAAGTGGTCACCCCTGATTTGGCTCACCCAGGAAGGGTACATTCCTTACTGGAATTTGGTCCATTAAATTTTTTTTGCTTGCACAACTCTTAGATAGCTTTAAGGAAAATAAGATATTCTTAGCTTATCCATTGTTTTCTTGTTGTTGCAGTAGAAATGGTGGTCTTTTGTGACCTTTCACATCCTAAGTGGAAGTGGAGCTCTGAGCATGTAATGGAAGTTGAACTCCTTTCTGTGTATCACCCTAACCAAGCCCACTGTAGTAGATTTAATGGACAGAATTTAGATATACTTTTGTGTGTGTCTCTGTAGCTAGCAAATCAGCCATGGTTGGGAGTGAAGAGTCATTACATCATGACAGTAACTGCATCTGGTGTGGATTTAGGGCATTCCAGACCATCTTCGTATTGAACTTAAATGTCTTTGTCAGATAGATTTCAACATAGGCTTTCACTACTAGGTCTATGTTAGTGGCTTTCTACCCTCTCTGTAATGCAGACTTGTGTTTGATATGAGGTCCTTAGTTTTAGAAATCTGCCTGGAAGTAAAATGGTGCAAACATTTGATGAAAATTATTGTTGATTAGCTTTATATTATATACATTATAGAGCAACTTTATTTTTCTCTATGTATAAGCTACTAGGTAATTATTGCTCAGATAACTTTTGTTCTTTGGCGGTAAATTTATATGTGTGTATATGTATGTGTGGATGTATATGTAGATGATATGGCATGTATCAGTACTTCATTACTTTCTATGGCTGAATACTATTGCATTATGTTATACACTACACTTTGTCCACTCATCTGTTGATGGACATTTGGTCTTTCTTTTTTGGCTATTGTGAATAACGCTGCTATAAACTTGGGCGTACATATACCTGTTTGAATACCTGTTTTCAGTCTTTGGGGGTATATATCTAGGAGAGGAATTGTGTGGTTATATGTTAATTCTGTTTAACTTTTTGAGGAGCCACCAAACTGTTTCTCATAGTTCCTGAACCGTTTGACATTCCTATCAGTAATGTCGGTTCCAGTGTCTCCACATCCTTGCTTAAAGCTTGTTATTTTCCATATTTTTGATTATAGCCATCATAGTGGGTATGAAGTGGCACCTCACTGTGGTTTTGATTTGCATTTCCCTAATGACTAAATTTTGGGTTTGGAGGGTTTTTTTTTTTTTGTGGCTTATACAACAGAAGTTTATTTTTTCACAGTTCTGGAGGCTAGAAGTCTAAGATCAGGGCACTGGGAGGGTTGATTTTTTTCTAAACCCTCTCTCTTTAGCTTGTAGATAGCTGTATTATGTGTCTTCACATGGTCTTTCTCTGTATGTGTGTCCAAATCTTCTCTTTCTATGAGGACACAAGTTACATTGGATTAGGGCCCATCCTAATGAACTAAATTAACCTTAATTACTTCTTTAAAGACCCTGTCTCCAAATACAGTCACATTTTGTGGTGTGGGGAGTTAGAACTTCAACACGTGAATTTGGTTAGGGGTGGGGAGGGGACACAATTTAGTCATAGCATGGTTTAAGCTATAGCATGAGTTTTGAGATTATCAATGTTGGAAACATACTTGTATCTAAGGAATAAGGAAAGCTTTATAGATGCAGAATGATTCAACTTTAAAACAAGCAATAAAAAAATCTGCTTTCAATAACTTATTGTTGGTTTTGTAATTTAGCTTATGTTTATTTTGGTTCAAAGCAATGTGCTTCCAATAAAAGAATCAGATTCCTTTTTACTCATTCCTCAGTAAATGGTTCTGGACACAATGGCAACTTGAGATTTCCGTTAAAATCTTCGTCCTTATCCTCGCCTTCATCATTATTGTCACCATCGTCATCAAGCTAACAATTATTACCTAACGACTATTGATGTTGAACATCTTTTCATGTGTTTGTTGGCTATTAGTATATCGTCTTTGAAGAAATGTCTATTCAAGTCTTTTGCCAATTTTTAAGTTGGATTGTTTGGAATGTTTTAATTGAGTTGTCTTTTTATTTTTGAGTTATAAGAGTTCTTAATGTATTCTAGATACTGAACCATTATTAGATACATGATTTGCAAATATTTTCTCCTGTTTTGTACATTGTCTTTTCACTTTCTTATGCTTTGATACACAGAAGTTTAAAATTCTTTATTGTAATAAATATTACATAACATGAGATCTACCCTCAACAAATTTTTTAGTGTACAATATTATTAACTATAAGCACAATGTTGTGCAGCAGACCTCTAGAATTTTTTCATCTTGGATGAGTGAAATTCTATACCCATTGAATAGCAACTCCCTTTTCCCCGCCTCCTACCAGTCCCTGGCATCCACCACTCTACTTTCTGCTTCTGTTGAGTTGGCTACTCTTGATACCTCATACAAATGGAATCATGTGGTATTTGTCCTTTTGTGACTGACTTATTTCACTTAGCATAACGTCCTCAAGGTTCATCCGTGCTGTAACACCTGACAGGATTTCCTCCTTTTTTATGGCTGAATAATACTCTATTGTTTGTATGTACTACATCCCCCCACATCCCCCGGCTGCCTTCTTTTTTTTCAATAGGAGTATTTGGGTACTATTTGACAAAACAAACAATGTTCTTTAAGCAAACATTTATTGAATGTCTGGATATGATTTGACAATAGGATATGGAAACAAACATGAGAAGGACACAATAATTGACCTCAAGGATCTGCTGTGCAGAGGTGTGGGGCTGTGGGTTAGGACACATAAGAAAATATACACTGAGAGTCTCAAGGCCTAAAAGGCAAACTCTGGGCTCTGAGAAGAACAGGATCTGGATGGCCTAGAGTAGTTTCATATACAGAAGTGGGGAGAAAGGAGGCTATACCACATTTTCTTTGTCTATTCAGCTGCTGATGGGCATTTAGATTGTTTCCACCTCTTGGCTGTTATGAAGAATGCTACAATGAACATGGGAGTGCAAATATCCCTTTAAGAGCCTGATCTTGATTCTTTTGGATAAATTCCCAGAAGTGGGGTTGATTGATTATATGGTAATTCTATTTTTAATTTTTTGAGGAACCTCCATACTGAAAAGTTTTTCATTTTGATGAAGTTTAATTTATCTGTTTTTTCTTTTGTTGCTCATGGTTTGGTATTATATTTGAGAAGGCATTGCCAAATTCATGATCATTGAAGATTTACTCCTCTGTTTTTCTTCTAAGAGTTGTATGGTTTTCGCTCTCACATTTAGGTCATTGATCCATTTTGAGTTAATTTTTGTATGTGGTATGAGGTAGGGATACAACTTTACTCTTTTGCATGTGGCTATCCAGTTTCCCCAGCACCATTTGTTGAAAATATTGCTCTTTCCTCATTGAATGGTTTTGGTACCCTTGTTGAAAATCAATCTGGCATATATGTATGGGTTTATTTCTGGACTCTCAATTCTATTCCTGTGGTCTATATGTCTATCCTTATGCCAGTACCACACTGTTCTGATTACTGTAGCTTTGGATTGGTTTGAAATTGGGAAGTATGATTCTTTCAACCTTGTTTTTCTTTTTCAAGATTGTTTTGGTTATTTGGGGCCTCTTGCAATTCCATGTGAATTTGAGGATCAACGTTTCCATTCTGCGGTTCACTATTCTTTATTGCTGAATAATATTATATTGTATTAATATGCCAGTTGGTTTATCCCATCTTCTATCAAGTATATTCTGTTGATAGGGAATGGATAAACACATGTATTCTCTTCTTAAATCTGTGTTTTCCTTATCACATTACTTGGGACTTAGGGTTCTGCCTTAAGCAGGCTCTACATTGAATGAATTTATTCTTCAAAAGCATTTGTTGCTAAGGAACCAGTGGCTTTTGGGCCACCTATTTTATATTCCAGCTTTAGAAAATACTGTGTTTTCAAGATATAATATTCTCTATTCATGATTTATACACGTTTTATCAAGAAAAACTGTTTTACAAATAATTTACTCTCTTTCTTCACAGGTACCCTTTCTATCTCCTTTGGAAGGTCATATTTACTTAAAAATAAAGTGTCAAGTGAATTCAAGTGTTGAAGAAAGAGGTTTTCTAGTAAGTAACATCACTGGATCTATATTTTTCTTTTTTGCATTTTGTGAAGCATAGACTTGGTTTCCAATAGGAATGAAAGTCTGTGTGACTAAGTGACAAATTGGTTCAGATTTGTTGCATGTCCACTATATGCTAATCACTGTGCTGGTGTTAGAATATAATAGGCCACAGAAAATAATCCCTGCACTTAGGAACTTTTAGTGTAATAGGAAGAAATACAAGTGAACAGTTAAGTACAATACAGTACTATAATGGGAGAAAGCATAGAGTGCATGGGTGTAAATTGGTGGGACACCAGGTCTTAGGTATGAGTGGGAAGGCTTAAAGAAAGGTATTGGAAATAACTTGTAAACTGCTAGCTGAACAAGTTAGCCAGAGGGAGAGAAGAGGGAGATATGCTCCAGATGAAGGGAAAAGCATTACTATGGCCTGGGGGGCCCTTCCCTCTCTCACGCCCACCAGAGAAAAAGATGACACATTTAGATAGTGGCAGGTATTTCAGGGTAGCTAGAGCTTAGAGTCTGAGTGTGTGTGTGGAGAAGGGGTAGTGAGAGGAGTGACTGGGGAGGAAGGTGGGGTTAGGGGAAACGGAGCCAAGTGTTAGAGGGCCTTTTAAAGACTTCCGACTTTATCCTGAAGTTGGTTGGGTACTCTTGTAGGATTTTAAGCAGAGGATTAACATCAAATTTGGGGGTTTAGGAAAGTCCTTCTGACTAACGTGTGGAAGTGGACTGGGGAATGGCAGAACTGAAGAAGATTAGTGAAGAAACTGAGTTACTCCATGAGAGAGGGGATGGGGGCTGGCAGTCAGGGTGGAGAGAAGGACCCACCATGAGTAGATGAAGGAGGAAGAGCAGACCCTAGTGGTTTGGCTGTAGGGATGGAGAAGCAGAAGTAAGGATGTCACCCAGATTCCTGCCTTGCACAGCTTGTTGGGTGGCAGTGATTATACTGACATAAGGGGCCCTGGGCGGGGAGCAAGTGTCCATGTTTGGGGTGGAAACCATTTTCCCCCCAAATTTTATTGTGGTAAATTGCAAGCATACAGCAATGTTGATAGAATTTTACAATGAACGCCTGTATAGCCAGCATCTAGATTTTGCCTTTAACATTTTTTACTGTCCTTGCTGTATCATGTATCTACTACCTAGCTATCCTTCTAGCCAGTCCTGAAAATATCATATTTTGGGGCAAAGAATTTCAAAGTATATTGTGGACATTAGCATGTTCCCGTGAATCTTCAGTGTACATCCCCTGAGTTCTGACACAGGCATACATCTATGTAACCCAAATTTCTATTAAGATAGACAATATTACCCCAGAAAGTTCCCTCATGCCCCTTGTCAGTCAGTCCCCACCCAAGGTAGGAAGTTTTAATGAGTTAAGTTTTAAATAACTTGAATTTTAGATGTGTACAGACACGTTTCAGAGTTTGAGTTTGGAGCTCAAGATAGGCATTTTAGATGAGGTGCAGGTTTGGAAACCTGCAGCAGAGAGATAGTAATGGAAGCTCAGGTGGCGTTGAATAGCCAGGAGAACACTAACATTTAAGCCACAGACCTAGGAAGAGAAGCTCTCAAGGGAGACTACAGGGAGGGCAATGGAGAACTTAGTATCATGGTTGCCAGGGGAAGAGAGTCTGCAAGAGGGAGTGGTCAAATTAGATAAGGATCTATTAGACACTGTTGGACTTACTAATGACGTGGTCATTCTAGTCTTGTTGAGAGCAGGAGCTAGATTGCAAATGGTTATAAAGGGAGTGGAGGGTGAAGAATGGGAGTGCAACAACTCTGAAACTAAGTTTGGCTGCAGAGGGGTAAAGAGAGTGTGATACCTGCAGAGGTATGTAGGGTGAAAGAAGGATTTTGTTGACATTTTATTAAGATTGGAGAGATTTGAGCATCTTTAAATTCAAATGGGTAGCTTCTAATAGGACCAAAGAGGGCAAAGATAGAGGCAATGGGGAACCTGCACTTTAAGGAATAACACATGGAACAAGGTCATGAGAGAGAGAACAAATAAGACCCAAGCCACGGTTCATGATCTTGTACAGAATTATACTTTTTCCATTATCGGAGGAGGAAAGTATGTGTGTAGAATACACAGAAGATTGTGGGTGTGGTACCAGAAGTAGAGAAAATCTAATAGCTTTGATTTTCTTTGTGAAGCAAGAATTTGAACTATACAAAAGGTATCACAAGGGCTCCCCTGGTGGCGCAGTGGTTGAGAGTCCACCTGCCGATGCAGGGGACATGGGTTCGTGCCCCGGTCTGGGAAGATCCCACATGCCGCGGAGCGGCTGGGCCCGTGAGCCATGGCCGCTGAGCCTGCGCGTCCGGAGCCTGTGCTCCGCAACGGGAGAGGCCACAACAGTGAGAGGCCCGCGTACCGCAAAAAAAAAAAAAAAAAAAAAAGATATCACATGTCAATTTGCAGTTGCTGACAAAGGGCACAGAAAGAAGAGCTAGATTGTTCAGAAAGTCCAAGCAGCCAAGGTGACTGTAAATCATACTTCGTAGCTTTTTTCACATGTAAATCCAGCAGGTGGCACTAGATATTCTTGGAAAAGTATCTTTATAAATTTCTGACTTGAAAGCAGTGTTTACTTACTGACCTTTTCCTTTAATGTAAATATTTCCATATTTTACTCCAGATACCTTTAGCCCCTGATATACTCTTATGACATTCATTTGCCTAAAATGTCTGACCTACTTAATGTTTGAGCAGGGCTCTTAACTACTTTAGAGTTAGATCTTTTCAGGTTTACTCTATCTTGAATCCTATAGGCCATTCTTATCACATCGACACTTACAGAAATGTGGTAAAAAAAAAATTACTCAGGACTCCCCCAAATAACTTTTGTCCTCTGTCTAAGCAATGCCTTTTAATTACTTCTAACCTCTATAAAAAATAGAGGTAGTAATTGAAGTGGTTCAGTTGCTTGGTTCAATTTCCCTTCCTGATGTGCCAGGGACAGCTGGAAGGAAGGAGACTACCAACCAGAGAAACTTGCTAAGTGATTCTAAAATGGTACTAGTCTAACTCTGCCAAGACTGATGAGCAGCAAGAAAAGTACGTTCTGGTTTAGCTAGAAGGTTCCAGTTCTGCTTTGTGACTGTGTGTTGTCATCTACTTTCCTTGGCCTTCAGTTTCCCCAGCTATAAAAATGAAAAAGCTATCCTCTTGTTATTTTTCCCTGATTTTAGTAGGGGGTAATGATAACTTGTATTATTTTTATCCATCAAATTTTTTCTTTTCTATTACCTTTATGATGTAAAAGGTGAACGTAAACACAAAAGGGAGCTGGTGAGTCATTTGTACTAACTTTGTGCTTGAGATTGAAATAACAAGATTCCTTGACTTGATACAGAGTAGAATAAAAATAAACTTAAGTACTTTATAAAGAGAAAAGAAAAAAAATCATGCAAGTAGATTTTGAAGTATGAAATATGTCAACATACTGAGGTTTAATGTATAGAAAACATTTAATTGATCCTCAAGTTTCTAAAGTCGGTATTTCATTGACTTTTCCAGACCATATTTGAAGATGTTAGTGGTTTTGGTGCATGGCATCGAAGATGGTGTGTTCTTTCTGGAAACTGTATCTCTTATTGGACTTATCCAGATGATGAGAAACGAAAGGTAATATTAATATTGATGGTCAGTGGTGAAAGCCCTAACTGACTTTTAGGGAATATTTCATGCAAGTGTTCCCCGTGGCCCCCATCAACAACCCAAATGCCCCGTTAAAAATATTTACTAAGCCATTAAAAATGTTCTTGTTGAAAGACTAGTGAGTATGTGTGTGTGCATGTGTGTGTGTTTGTGTAAAAATTTTATATCTTATCCATTCCCTGTGATTTGACCACTCTTGAAATACCTTAAGGAATATATTTTTCGTTTTTTCTGGAATGTTTCATAATAATTTTTAATTGATACTTTTAGTCAGAAATATTTTCAATTCACTTTTGTATTTTATTAACAGTTGATTTACCTAACTCTGAGGTAAAACAGAAAGGAAAAACCACCATAGGAATATAGTGGTTTTGGTTTTGTTTCTAAAATTTGATAATAGAATTTTATGGATACATTACATCTTGTTTTTAAAGAATTTAATGTTATTACCCAAGTGTGGTAATTTATTATCCAAAAACTGGAAAACAGAAATAAGCAGAAATATAAAGTAAAATCATCAATAACAGAGATAACTACTGTTCACATTTGGCTGTGTATCCTTCTAAATTTTTAAAATGTATATGTAATAATAGTTATATATCCATTTATGAATCTTTTTTAAACAGAAAGTATCATGTTTTTTATAACTTAATTTTTACTTGATAATATCCTGATATCTTTCCACATCAATAAAAATACATCTGAGATATTGCATTAGATAGATAGATATATGTATTACATTGTAGCTATATAAAATTTTATTTTAAAGTTTATTGTGAAATATTTTGAACCTTCAAATAGACAAAAAAAAAAAAAGTAATTTCCATCAACCTCTGCGTTATCAGTCCAGTTAAAGCTCCTCAAGTAATTTTCTCTCCCTCATAGAGATAACCCCGATCCTGAAATTATTTTGTTCCTATGTATTTCTTTAAATTTTTATTATATGTTATATATAAGCAGTATATTATTGCAGTTGCATATTTTGAAGCATTATACAAATAGATCATACTGTATATACTGTTCTGCAACTTGCATGTTTTAAGTCAACATGATTTGTGACATTAGTCTAGGCTGGTGTGTGTAGCTCTCGTTTGTAGAGCTCTAGCCATCTCTCTGTACTAAAGTATTCCATTGTAAGAATGTATCACAATTAATTTATCAACTTCTCCTATTTATGGGCACTTAGATTATTTCTAAATTGTTGCTATTATAAGCAGCTCTGCTATAACTTAGCTACATGGATCAGAGCTCTTTCTTGAGTTTGTATCTAGTAGCAGAATTGCTGGTTTGTAGGGTTTCACACATCTTCAATTTAGCTAGATTTTGTCCAGTTATTCTTGAAATTGGTTGTACAATGTTCCATTCCCACCAGGAGTATATGAGAGTTCTCAGTGTTCCACATCCCACCAACACTTGATATGTCAGCCTTTTAAACTCTTGCCAGTGTGATAGGTGTGAAAGGTTATTTCACTGTGTTTTTATTTTGGTTTTCCTTGATTGAACATTAAGAGTAAGCATCTTTTCTTATGTGTTTTGGCCCTTTATTTCCCATCTTTTGCTTGGCATATGTTTTAATTTATCTTTATAATATCTTTTCATAAACAGAAATTTTTAATGCTACGATAAATCTGTCAGTTTATTGCTTTATTGTTTGCTTCTTTGAGTCTTAGTTAAGAAAATCATCTCTATAGTCATAAAGATATTCTCCTATACCTCCTTATAACTTCTGAAAGTTATAAAGATTTATATTTCATATTTAATTTACCTGGAATTGATTTTTTTCCCCCAATCTGGAAACCCAACTGTGCCAGCCCCATTGGATGGTCCATTCTTTCCCCACTGATCCACATGCTGTTTCTGACATGTATCAAGATATCATTATATATGTAGGTCTATACCTAGGCTTTCTATTCTGTTTCCTTTGGTATGTATCTCTCAGTCTCAATTACCATAGCTTTAAAATAAATCTTAATGTCTGGTAAGGTAAGTCTCCTAACTTGTGTTCTTATTCAATAATGTATTATTTATTCTTGGTCCTTCATTTTACACACACACACACACACACACACACACACGGAAATATGTGTACCTGTATATTTAACTTTTTATAATTGAAAATGTTCAAATGTTCACAAAACAGAGAGAAATAGTATATTGAATTCCTAGCTTCAACAATTATTAACTTTCATTTCTCTCTCCACAGCACACACACTTTTTTGTTCTTGTTGGTTTGCTGAGGTATTTTAAAGCAAATATCACACTTCATATTATATCATTTAACCTGTGTGAGTCAAGGTTGCCAGTTCCTAACATTCATTGGTCAGTACCACAAGGAAGCCAGGTTTCAGGCTAGCTTACCATTCTGCACTCTCTCTTCCTCATTGATTTTGGCCTTTGAAGGTTTCTTTCACCTTCTTGTGAGTTCAGTTATTTGGCATTTGGGGAATTATGGGAGGACTTTCAGACTATTTAGTCTGCCATACTTGCTGGAGACATAATATTATTATTTGTTTAAATAGTCCCCAATTACTGTCATTTAATTTGTTTCAATCTTTTCATTATTATGAAAAAATAGGGACTATACCCATATAAACATCTTTGTGCACCTATGTATTTGCTTAGTATAAATTTCTTTTAGGTGAAGTTGTAGGATCAGGGTATGCCCATTTTGAATGTTTTTTGATTGCTCTTATCAAATTGTCTACCAGTAGTAGACCATTTATGCTTTCACCAGTAGTGTATGAGAGTTTCTATCACCACCCCAACCAACCAACATAGGTTATTACCATTCTTTCCAGACTTGGCCAATCTAATGTTTAAAAATGGTATATTTTATTCTAATTTCTTCTTAAAATTACTAATAGAGTTAACAGTTTTACTGGCTCTTTAAAAGTCATTTGTGCCCATACTTGTCCCTTTTCTAATTTTTCAGGACCATTTAGTCTTATGAATTTTTATCTTTGACTGTCTGTCATACCATAGGAATAACATGGCTTCCAACAATCCAAAGCAATAGTTTAGCCTGGTCTTTTAGAGATACATAAAAAATATTTACAAATGATTTCTGATGTCTAGGTTTCTGTTTATAGAAAGGGAGGAATTAAGTGGGCTATAGACAAAAGGTGGTTGAATGTGTGTTTCTAATTGTTAGAGCTGATTAATGGGTACATGGAAGTTCATTATGCTGTTCTTTTTATTTTGTGTCTGTTTGAAGTTTTCCATAACAAAAAGTTTGCTTTTTAAGTTGACTAAGAGCTCCAGTTGACATCTTTGGTTTCTATTTTTATGACCAGCAAAAAACAATAATAAATGTTAAATATGTTTCTCTAAACTCAGTGTAATTAAACTTTAACTTTTAAATTAATGCCTTTTTAATTTTAAATTTGTATCAACTGGAATACCGCTTAATGCTTACTGACTTAAATGGTCTTGTTTATTTTCTACTAATCATGTTTTTTAAAAATTTGTTTTTAAAGAATCCCATAGGAAGATTAAATTTGGCCAATTGTACCAGTCGGCAGATAGAACCAGCCAACAGAGAATTTTGTGCAAGACGCAACACTTTTGAATTAATTACTGTCCGACCACAAAGAGAAGATGACCGAGAGACTCTGGTCAGCCAATGCAGGGACACACTCTGTGTCACCAAGTATGTATTGGGCTATAAATATTTCTATCAACTAAGTGATTGCCCACTATGTTCTTTCTTACCACTGTAAGAAATATCAGAGATGATCCTTGTCTTCGAAGAGAGTACAGTCTTAATGAGGAAACAAAACACACACACATCAGTAAGAGAGTAAGCTAATAATTAAATCAATATAGTTAAGAAGAATACAGCATTCAAGTTATGTCTTAGCTGATCATGTTTTCTAGTATACTCACAGTATAGCCATTTTCAGGACAGTTACCTAATATTCTTTGGGCTGAGTTTGAAGATTTCATGTGTAATTGAGAAGTCAAGTATTTTTTAAAGCGATTTGACACATCCCTTCCTGTCTATTCCCCAAATACCCTCGATTAACCTGCTGACTTACAAAACAATTTACTCTGCAAATTTCTGGTTGGAGATTAACAGAATAAACTACTGGGACTGTCACTTTTCATTAACCCTAATCTTAAGTATAAGATGCAAAAGCTTATTGCTAAGAGTCTAAGGTTCTTTTGCTTGGATGCCCAAGAGAAGCTTGCAGACCAACTTCAATGTACAAAATTATGATTAGGGACAAAAGTTAGAATTTGACAGAATCTCTGTTAATCAGACTGTTGCTGGATATTGCAGACAGGGAGATGGGTAGAACTGGCTCCATGAGTTTCTGATGTGGAAATATCAGAAAGTTCAGCCAAGAGACACTCTATTAAAATAGAACAAAGTTGCCCAGATACCGCCAGTTGGTTTTAAAACAGAGAAAGAGGGGATGCGTTCTTTGGAAATTCTTGATGTCTAGATTACTTTCAGATTAATTTAGTTGAACTCATCCACTCCTTTCCTTTGAGCGCCTTATGTGCAGCAGTGACATCAGACAGGATAGGAGAGGCAAATTGGATTTATAGTCACTTTCTTTAGTAGCTACCCTGTTCATGGCCACAGTCAGTGAGGGAACCAACCAAAATTCAGTCCCCAAGTACTTCCCGACCACAATAGCCCTTTTTAAACAGTACTCACATTTTTCATATAATCTTATCTTTTACGTGTTACATAAACCCTCCCCGACTTCGACCTTCTCCTGCGGTAGAAATAGTTATATCACATATTGCTCTAATTACTCTGTAGTTCACCTGCATGCAGTTTTTCTTATTATAACATTATTGTAATTCGAGTGGACACTTTATCCAAGCATTTGAGAGAGGCCCATTCTCAGCTCAGTCTTGGCTGAGTCTTTAGCTTTGTTGGTGGCTTCTTAAAACTTATTTCACGTTTTGATCATATATTTTGCAGAGTATATACATTTTACAGTTATTTATCTGTTTCTCCCCAAGGCCTTTTTGATCTATGCCTTTTATCTAAATTTAATGTATCTCATTTTTATTTCTACTAACCAACCTTGCTATCTTTCCCTCTTTCAATACAAAATATTTATCATCTGATAAATATTGCCTACTTTGAAATATAGATTATACATTTGAACTAGAAATGTTTCATCACATGGGGAGCCAGTATTATACAGTTGAACTTTGAAGACAACAGACCTATGTTTAAATCCTGACTCAGTGACTCACCAAATGTGACCATGGCAAGTTACTTAACTTTGCTAGCCCTCTGAAATCTCCTGTGTCAGAGGAGAAGCATAAACTCCACAGAATGACAGTAGAGGTTAATGAGTAGACACACTTAGCATGGTGTCACGCACATGGAATGAGCTCAACGAATGGTCACTATCATTACTGTAAGTATTGTGTTCTCTCCGTTGACTAATAGATGATCAACTCACTGCTTATTCACACTTATACCATTTCTAGTACCAATGGGGAGAAATTATAAAGATGGAGAATGAGTACAATACAACATACTTCTAACACCCGGCTGTCCTCTAGAAGAATGGTCTGGCTTGTGAATTAGGGAATTCCCCTTTCCCCCCCACCCTCGCCTGCCGCATCAACTGGATATTCAACTTGTAGCTAAATATGGATACAACGAAGAGATTTCTGATATGAACAAAGAGATTAGGATAGACAAAGTCTTAGGATCTTCAGATCATTTACTGTAAATACTGTGCTCTACTAATACAGTGGGACGAGAATAATGGGAGACAGTACAAAATAGTATTATCTATAAGGCCAGGTGAAGGTTCATGAGTCTGTGATTCCAGCTCTTGGGGACCCTGAGTCTGAGGGATCTGGGGGGGCTCCCATATTCAGGCCAGTGGTGCGCTTGCTCTTCTAGGATGTGACCCATGCTCAGTGGCTGTCCTGCACCACCAAATTGCCCAGTCAGACCACCTGTACACGATTGGTTACTGCCTTTGGTGTGAAGCTCCATCATTTCCCAAATGTAATCAGCGTGAGTTATGGTTCAGCTAACCAACCTGCAAGATGATTCTCTTTTGTTGTAATTGGAGAAGCACTTTACTATGGGTCTATTGATTTAGCATCCATTAAAACAGGGGTCCCCAAGCCCCGGTCTGTGGCCTGTTAGGAACCAGACCGCACAGCAGGAGGTGAGCGGCGGGTGAAGCTCCCTCTGCTGCTCCCCATCACTCCCCATCGCTCGCATTCCCGCATGAACCACCTCCCGCCCCACTGGCCGTGGAAAAATTGTCTTCCATGAAACCAGTCCCTGGTGCGAAAAAGATTGGGGACCGCTGCATTAAAAAGTGGTAAAGAGTTACTCCTTTTACTATTTAGGCTCCGCCCCCACCCCCCCATCCCGTCCCAGCAAGAGTACTTGGAGATATGGAATGGGGGAAAGGATCCTGATCTTTTGAAGAGCGGGATCTCTGGATGCAAAAACTCAATCAAGTTCTTGTTGATATTCGCCTCTGGCAACCTGATGCTTGCTATAAACCTATTGGAAAGCCTTAAACTGTGGGACATTTCCAAGTCATATAGAGGTTTTCTGACTCATGTCATAAATGTTTCTTAAGAGCATCAGTTTTGCTGGTTGCATTTTATGCTTTAAATACAAAAGGGTATGTGCCAATATTCATTCACTACATATTATGCAGTATTTTATATCTTTTGTATGTAAAACTTCACCCAATTTCTCTTCTGTTATTCATAAATGATTGGAAGAAAAAATGTATTATAGTTGATTTTGCTAAATTTTAATTTAAAAGCCTCATTTTCCTAGAAATCTAATTATTCAATTATTCATGTTAAAATATTTTTTTTTAAGTAAGGAATTTTGAGTTGTCTTCCTGGAGCTGTGGGTCTCAAAGTAAAAAGGTCTTCCAGGGTTGGAGACAGAAACCTCACACTTGATCATTCTTTCTCTAGCCTCAGTACTTTTTTCTGAAGGTTGTGGTCATTTATTGATCATGATATATGTTGTTAATAGAGTACTGAAAAAAAAATCTAAGGGACCTTGCAGAAACAGTTTTAGTAATGGAGGTAAGAACTTTTTCAAAATAACAAATGTTTATTAGTCTGAAGCTTAAGGCTGCCTTCAAATAAGAGATGTGGGCATAGGGGATATTACTGTGTGAGATTTGGGGGTTAAATGTTTTATTTAGAAGACCTAATAATCACATGGTTTACATTTACTCAGTTACTATAAATGCTGTGTGGTGCACATTTTCATGGAATACAGGCTTTTAAAAATAACTATTTCTGCTCTATAGCTTACAGACTCCTCAGATATACTTGTCAAATTAGTTCTTTCTGTTCCTGTAACAAGAACAAATGTAAATTGAAGAATCTTTATATAAGAAAAGTAAACGTTACCAAGCTACTATGACTAATACTTTGCTTGCCTAAGTTCTTGTCTTTTTTCTTTTTCACATCAGTGTATGACAGTGTCTAGACACGCATTATGAAAATCACTTGAGAAACTGTTAAGTCATGTATTACCTTTAAAAGCCTAATGCCTTTTTTTAAATTATAAAATATTATAAATGTAAAGCATGGTCTCAACTTTAAATACACTTTCACTTTCTTCTCTGAATTGTTAAAGTTATTGATGGCCTCATTTATAAACACTAAATTCTGTCACCTCCTGTCATTTTATTTTTTATTCATTTAAATATGTTTTTTCTTATGTGTATTATAAAAATATATTTTATGATCTCCTACCTAAATAAATACTTGCAAATGGCTTAAGGAGTCAGCTATTTAATAAATACTACTAAAATGTGCTCTGCGGCTGCCCTGCATCGTAGGCTGCGGGCTTCTTGAGGGGATTGTACTGACTTGATGAGGGTATTTCATTCATCTTTTTACCTCTAGCCCAGTGCTCAGCCCATTGTGTGTTCTTAGAGTCTCTGTTGAATCAGGAGGTGGATGAAGGGTCCATTTCTGAGGCATTTCAATAGAATATGGTACTCAGACGCACGTTTAAGGAGATGGAGGATGATTCCCAAGTGCTTAGCAGAGACTGAGTAGATAAGTAACATCACCAGCCAAAACAGGGTATAGGTTTGGTGGGATTGAGGACAGAGCCCCTTTTATTTATTTGTAGATTTGTTTTTATTTTTTAAATTTTTTAAATAAATAAATAAATTTATTTATTCATTTGTGGCTGCGTTGCTGTGCGTGGGTTTTCTCTAGTTGCGGCGAATGGGGGCTACTCTTTGTTGCGGTGCATGGGCTTCTCATTGTGGTGGCTTCTCTTGTTGCGGAGCACAGGCTCTAGGCACATGGGCTTCAGTAGTTGTGGCGCGCGGGCTTCAGTAGTTGTGGCTCGCGGGCTCTAGAGCACAGGCTCAGTAGTTGTGGCACACAGGCATAGTTGCTCTGCGGCATGTGGGATCTTCCTGGACCAGGGCTCGAACCCGTGTGCCCTGAATTGGCAGGCCGATTCTTAACCACTGCATCACCAGGGAAGCCCTTGTGTTTATTTTTGAATAGGTATTATATGTCATTATACAAAATTCAAAAGACACAAAGAAGTTAAGGTGAAAAGTGTGTCTTTTCCTCTTGTCACAGCCACTTTTGCCAATTTTGCCGTGTCCTCCTAGAGAGATTCTGTGCATATTACATCAACATATTTCTATTCTTTTGTTCATTAAATATATTTCACACATACTCTTTGTTGTAAGTGAAAGAAAAAGGCATAACAGTATTCCTTAGCAAACATTATATCTTAGTATATGTGTAGAGGGTATATAAAGTTCAGTTTTAGAAATTTTTTTTTTTACCTTTTTTAACGTAATTTTATTTTTTTAATTTTTAAATTAATTTTTATTGGAGCATAGTTGCTTTACAATATTGTGTTAGTTTCTTTTTTAAAATTTATTAAATTTATTTATTTTTGGCTGCGTTGGGTCTTCATTGCTGTGCACGGGCTTTCTCTAGTTTCGGCGAGCGGGGGCTACTCTTCACTGTGATGCGGGGGCTACTCTTCACTGTGATGCATGGGCTTCTCATGTGGTGGCCTCTCTTGTTGTGGAGCATGAGCTCTAGGCACGCAGGCTTCAGTAGTTGTGGCACGCAGGCTCAGTAGTTGTGGCACACATGCTTCATTGCTCCTTTAGAAGAAATTTAAGGTGATTATGGAACATACGTTAGAAATACCTCATAAAAGGGAACCCTCTTGCACTGTTGGTGGGAATGTAAATTGATACAGCCACTATGGAGAACAGTATGGAGGCTCCTTAAAAAGTAAAACTAGAACTACCATATGACCCAGTAATCCCACTACTGGGCATATACCCTGAGAAAACCATAATTCAAAAAGACACATGCACCCCAATGTTCATTGCAGCACTAGTTACAATAGCCAGGTCACAGAAGCAATCTAAATGTCCATTAACAGAGGAATGGATAAAGAAGATGTGGTACTTATATACAATAGAATATTAGCCATAAAAAGGAATGAAATTATGCCATTTGCAGAGACATGGATGGACCTAGAGATTGTCATACAGAGTGAAGTAAGTCAGAGAAAAACAAATATCGTATAATGTTGCTTATATGTGGAATCTAGAAAAATGATACAGATGCACTTATTTGCAAAGCAGAATTAGAGACGCAGGTGTAGAGAACAAATGTATGGATACCAAGGGGAGAAGCGGGGGTGGGATGAATTGGGAGATTGGGATTGACATATATACACTCCTATGTATAATATAGATAGCTAATGAGAACCTACTGTATATCAGAGGGAACACTACTCAGGGCTCTGTGGTGACCTAAAAGGGAAGGAAATCCAAAAAAGAGGGGATATATGTATATGTATAGCTGATTCACTTTGCTGTACAGCAGAAACTAATGCAACATTGTAAAGCAACTATACTCCAATAAAAATTTTTTAAAAAAAGAAAGAAATACCTCATAAACCATGGGAAATACTGCTCTGAAATTTTCAGTGTTATGTGCCTAGGGGGATTGTTGAAACCATTAGAGTCGATAAGATCATCCAGGGAGTATGATGGTGGAAAGAGAAGCAAGAGCAAAAAGAACATGATCTTTAGGGGAAAAGTGAAAAAGGAGTGGCTGATGATTATCTTCCATGAAAGAAATACAAGAGTGATGTCTGCCGAGACCAAAAAAGGCTCTTAAGATTTGACCACAAAATCAAAAAGTGGGTTAAAGGAAACAACTGAAATTTGAAATGGTCAATTCGATAAAATGGTTCAGATGAAAAATCAGGTTACACAGAGGAAAATTTGATTTGACTGCATAAAAAATTTCCTGGGCTTCCCTGGTGGCGCAGTGGTTGAGAGCCCGCCTGCTGATGCAGGGGACGCGGATTCATGCCCCGGTCCGGGAAGATCCCACATGCCGCGGAGCGACTGGGCCCGTGAGCCATGGCCACTGAGCCTGCGCGTCTGGAGCCTGTGCTCCGCAACGGGAGAGGCCACAACGGTGAGAGGCCCGCGTACCGGAAAAAAAAAAAAAAAAATTTCCTTCCTGACAAATTTAAACAAAGTTTAAGCAAAGTTAAAACATAAGCCCCAGACTAGGAGAAAATATTCACAACACATTTAATAATCAAAGAATTAATATATATACAAAATATATAAAGAACTCCTTTGGCTGGCTATCATCGTTTAAGCATTTACTATGTACCAGATTATATTCTTGGTGTTTTGCATGCATTATCTCTTAATCTTCACATGACCTTATGGTATGGGCATTCAATGAGGAGACTAGAACTTAGGTAACTTTTCTAAGGCAACATGCCTGTTAGCAAGTGGCAAATCAAGATTTGAACCTAGAATCTACATACTTTATCATTATAGTATGATGTTTCTTAAATTACTAAGAGTAAGAAAATTTAACCTAAGAAAGAGGGGCAAATAATACTAGTAGAAAATGTGCGCGCGCGCGCGCACACACACACACACACACACACACACACACACACACACACAGATCCGAAGAACCAACAAATGAAAAAATGATATTAATAAACAAAAATATGAATTTAAATGGCAGTGGGTTATTGGCCCTTGAACTGTTGGAACTAGTCAGTGTTGCTGAGAAACCCATACTCTTGGTAAGAATAGAAACTGCTACAGCCTTCTTGGATGGTAACTTGGTAACCTCCAGTGATCTCTGAGCTAACACACAGGATCAGACTGTCACATCAGACTTGCATGCATCAGAGGTTTTATCCATATAGAGCTTTACTCATAATTTCAAGAACACAAGTGATCAAGGCACTGGCTAAACAGGAAGTCTACAAAATCCTGCATACCTCCTGGGTCTTTCATTCCTACTTTGGACAAGTAATAGATAAGATCTCACATGAGGTTTGTGGGACATCTCACACAGCAGGGAGCCTGGAGGTAAGGCCACGTTACCATTTTGTACCCTATATAGTTATACAGCTTGTGTGACTTTCTCAGGAGTCTTGCCTCACGAATCCATAAATTCTAACTTTATTTACCATAAACAATTCTTCACCAGCCATATCCTAC